GTTTTTTTTTTTTTTTTTTTTTAATAACAGGAAAAAGAACCACTCTTTTATAGTCCCTGTCTTTGGCATAGAGCCTGCCTTACATGGATGGAAGGAAAATTAATCACTTAACTATGTTATACAGAAGCAGACAAGTAGAGCTTGGAATGCTATTACTGTTCACATAAACTATGATTCTGTTGGACTAAGGCAACTGCTCTTTTTTTTAAATTTACTATAATATCAAAAAATGTAGTGGCATTTTATACACCTTTGGTGGCTTGATTTTTTAAAAAAAAATAATGAATCGATGTCTTCTTTTATAAATTTTCTGTATTTATCTGGAATAAACTTTATTGCCTTATCTTTACCAACCATGTAACAGAACCTCATAGCTTTCCAACAGAGCTATTTGCCAAACAATTTCTTATCAATGCTGAAATAGGAATATCAGCAATTACTTCAGATGTTAAGACTGAGGACTTCTAATCAGCTTGAACCAAGACACTGTGTTACCCATATGCATTCCCAAAGTCTAGGCATCCAGTGTGTTCAGTCGTATCTTCCGGAGTCAGTGAGCTGATCATCCCTTTTTTGATATGTATTCTACATTTATCAACCTAGTTCATTTGTTCTTGTGTCTGCTGTAGAAGCAAACTGTATCTTTGTTAAATCATAGGGATTATCATTGTATACATGCTGTGAACATGTATATGTGAAAGTTGTAATGTATTCTGTAATGTAGGCTTATTATTTAATTTCACCACTTCATCACTTTTGTACAGTGGCCAAGCAGACACCTCAAACTCCAGCATTTATATTAAGTGCATTTGTATATTTTAGGCCACTGGATCCAGATTTTATATTGGCAGTTACTGAGGGCAAAAGCAATATATTATAACAGAATGTATAAATATTTTTGATAAAACAGTCTATATTTTATTAAAAAATATTATAACACTAAAGCTGTACCTCAAAAGTCTGAAAAATAATTTGATCAGATACTTTTTACAATTCTTCAAGAGGATCCGTTGTGGCTTTTTGTACTCTGAAAGTATGTTTTTGCAAATCATGACTTTACATTTGCTTGGAGTTTTTGTTTCACTTTGTTTTTTTTACATTTTTCCCCTCCTAGTCCATGAGTTGTTTTCTCTTGAGTAACATCTTTGATCCTGTGCTTAGCATGTTAGGGTCATTATACCTCAGGAATAACAAATTGGTAACTAATCATGCTGAATTAACCATTTAATCACAGTGAGCTCATCTCTTAAAAGTTATTCAAGTTTATATCTTATAAAAATGGTTTGTGGAGTTGAGCTTAAAGCATTTATAAATATTTCAGTTTTGTGAAGATTGTGTTAACATGTTTTTATTGTACTGAGAACAATTAAAATTGTCCAGAAATAATTCATATTATCTTTAAAATTATTACCCAAGATCCTTTGGGAGAAAATTTTGTAAAAAGAAGAACACTGTGTTATTTAAAGTTATTTTTAAATGCCAGTTAAATTTCTTTGGGAAAAGACAGTAGGAGACCTAAGCATAATTTTTGGTTTTAATTTAAACATCATTAACAGCATTAAAATAAAACACTAAATACTTTTGAGGTACAGTCTGCTTACCCATCTGGTTCTCAAATATGCCTAGAAAGCAATGTCTAGAATGGGCTTTTAGCATTTTAAAAACTGACATAGCATTTTATAACTACGCTGTGTACAGAAATTTTTTAATTGAATTCAATCACTAAAAAAAATTAGAGGGCAGGGTATATTCACACAATTAAGCTGAAGAAAGCACTAATTTTTTCTGTAGTTTAAAGTATATATATATATATATTAGATTAAAAATTTTAAGAGTGTAAATATATTTTGCTATTACTGTATGTGTATGTGACTGCTCAAGCACTTTGTAAGGAAATTAGTATATTTTAGAATGGTACACTATGCATTCAAATGAAATGTGCCTATTTGTCATTCTAAGAAGTGTTTTTTGCAGTCATAAATTACCACAAATGCACAAATTAAAGTTTAAACAGACTGAAATTTGTAACTTTGGTTTTAAGTATTATTTCCTTTTAGAAACGTCCTAGGATTGAAATATGCATAGTTTTACTATGTTTAAGGTCTCAAAGACTAATTTCTTGCAAATACTTTTTGTCTGGGAAAAGCTAAAATCATGAAAATTCACAGTACATTGTTCACTTCACTGGGAAAAATGGGGAAATTCTGTATTCTGTTCTGTAATGTCAGTAGCCTCTTCCATTCAGTGGATATCTTATGAAATGCCCAGTACAATGGTACACTGAGGATAGGAAGAGGGGGGCAGTAAAGTTCTCATAATTGAAGAACACCATGCATTAATATTGAAATACAAGAACTGGTATTTTATGTTCTTTTCTCTTGTTTAGATTAACTTAATTTAGGAACTGACTTTTCACAACTAGGCAGATGAGTCTGGTCTCCATAGTGAGTTCAAGGTCAGATGGAACACAGACCTGGATCTAAAACCAGTGACATTGTCCTTTAGCGGAGGAAACACTGAAGCATTCCCAGTAAGCTCTTCATAAACTTGAGTTAGGAGGTGAGTGTGGTGGTGCATGCTGGACACTGAGAAAGAGGATTACGAGTGAATTAAATAGTGGACCCTGTCTCAAAAACAATTTTTTTAGATCGGTCGTAGGATTAGGTTGCCTGTCATTGCTACTCTTCTCCAACATGGTACAGTGGAGCTTCGAGTTAACGACCAGCTTGACATATGAATAACTTGGGTTCTGCCTGGAATTTTAGTTTTATCTTATGAGCAGTCTTGAGTTATGTCCTGAATGCCATCTGCTACCACTGTCACTTCCAGATGATCTCAGATACAGATTTAACCCTTAAAGAGTTCTGGCGGGAACATTACAGCACCCTTTCCTAGGAGGGGTTCATTGTAAAATCCTGCGCCATGGTCTCTAGGCACGCTGGGATCTACCTGGAGACTTTGAAGAGAGACTTCGAAGGCTGTGTAGAGGAGCCTGAGCCTTCAATTGGCCAACTTGAGTTAAAACCAGCCAGCATGAACAAATTGAGTTCAGAAGTCAAGGGTCCACTATATTCTGTCATTTTCAGTGGCATAGGATTCAAAGTAAAATGGGCAGTGGCCACTGCCACTATTTGCAATGACAGGGTTTTTAGAAAATTCAAGGCTACAATTATTAGTAGTAATAGATGTAAGATAACACAAGTTGATTTGTGGCTATGTCTCATCAATTAGAATTCATATTATGCATCTTCAGTGACAAGTTACATAGAGAAATCTATCAAATTATTCCAAGCATAAGAAAAAAATTTTATTGGGAGACATAAGAAAACCTAAGTGTAGAAATACCCATTTGTAATGTATGTTCCCCATATTGCTGTGTAGAGCCAATATATAGACATTCAGCATCCCAAGAAATTTTTGTGAAATTTTACAAGTTCATTCTAAATTTGTATAGAAAAATGAAAGATCAGAAACAATGAATAGTAATTTCCTAAAGAAGAGTGGAAATGAAGGAATTCTATCTACCAGAGACCAAGACTTATGTGTAAGTTATTTTAGTATTTTACATATAAGATGGAGTCAACAAATGGGCCCACAAGGATCTGGAACATTAATATATAACAAGGGTCATAATTTTAGTAGGGAAAATGAACCATAAGTGAATACTGTTATTTCCCAGCTCTTAAGAGGAAAACTGCTTATCCCTATAGACGTGAAAAAGTTTAAGCCAGGCATTGCTCAGCACTTGAAAGGCTAAGGCAGGATTGCCTCAAGTTCAAGGCCAGCCTGAACTCTACATATGGAGACCCTGTCTCAAAACAAAAATTCCTGTGTTATATTATTAATAATTCAAATGGACAGGGCCAGGGACTTAGCTCAGTGGTTCTACCGCCTGTTTTGCAAGTGAAAGGCCCAAGTTTGATCCCCGGTACCAAAAAAAAAATTCAAATGGATTACGCATAAATTTAAAACACCAAGATTATACTAATAGAGCAAAGTATTCAAAAGCAAGAAAAATTGATAGAATCAGTTACAATGAACATTTTTTCAAAAAGCACCATCACAAAAGTAAAAAACACAAACTAAGAATATAATTTTCATTGCACATATAAAGAAAATATCATAACTTAAAACTAAGAAATACAGAGGCGGCTTGGCACCTGGGCATCAAAGTCCCTGCAGCAGTTGTGATGGGCGACATTGCTGGGGGGTGGCTGTGGCTCACCATGGTAACCGCAGTGCTGCCACCGCCCCATTTCCCCACCTCCAGAGAATCAGTCCTGGAGGAGGGTGCTGGACCTGATCTGGAAGTATCCTCATGACCTGTCACCACCCTGCAAGGGGAGGATGCCTGGTACCTCCAAAGGAAAGTTAAAGGAGGTAAAGATGTGTGTCCATCAGAAAAAGCACTGTTCAGTATGAAGTGGAAGCACCATTCTTGGAGAAATGGGCAAATCCCATGTTGAGAACAAAAGGAGGGCTAGAAAGTGGTTCATCTGGAAGGTCTCAGAGTCAGCACAGATAAAACTTCTGGTACAAAAGGTGGTTGAGAGTAAATTTAGGCATCCCTCAAAACAAAATGAACAGTTGTGCTATCTGCAGAGCTGTGATTCATTGTCAGGAAAAGAAAACTCAAGCAAACCTCCTCCCCTCCTTTTGAAGGAACAGATAGATGAAGTTGCCAGCATTAATGACATGGACAAATACACTAAGTTACTGTATGAAGATCTTCCTCATACGGTTTGAGCTCTGATCCTGTATCTTGCTCCAGATCCTGTTTACTTGGAAGAACTGTGCTTAAATGAAACTGCCTTCTGTGCACTAGCAAGAGGCCTGAGAGAAGACTGGAAGCGAAGCGTTGCATTAGCTACAAACATAATTTACATC